AACGTTTGGAGAGAGTATTAACCCTTTTGGGACCGTGGCCCCACGGCCCCTGAAACTATAACTGGAAACCGTTCTCGGTCTGCTCCAGTCTCGCTGCATCTCCAACCCTAGCGTGTCACTGGTAGACCCCAGCACGGGGATTAGAGATGCAGAGAAGGTGGAGCAGATGGTCCAGAGTTACCAGTTAGAGGCAGAGGTCGTGGGTTCCCGATCTCAGAGGGGTTAATGATATTCTCTATATTCGAATTCCTTATAATCCAGTTCTAGTTGGCGGTTATAATTGGTTCTTATCATGTTAAAACTACTTGAAACATACGGAAAACAGGGTGAGTATCGTTGGAAGTATATCGATTATTCCCCATTAGTTTGCAGGTCTACCTGTGTTCTGAGATACGAGGATCAGCGAGTAGCTTTTCAGATAATTTTAGTTGGTGAGTAGGAAATGTCGAGTTGCGAGGCTTCAACAAACGATAAGGAACCTCTTGAAGAAAGCGCAGAGGTATGCGGGTCGATGGTTTGTTTTGAATGTTAACCCCTTGAGTGGCATATTTACGTGCCATCATTCTCCGCGTTGGTCGTCGCGTGCGGTGGGGATCTCCTGGTTTCTGAGCGGTGCAATGGAAATGTGGATATTTTCGTGGTCAGTTGAGGATTCAGGGGACATTGTCGTCTTTGAATGATGAAAATGTCATAAAAGAGACTTCTGTATAGATTTCTCAGTGTAAAGAACGCTTCTATGTCGAGGTATAAACGGGGCAAAATCGTTGCGGAGATAAACATACTTCGAGCCGGTATACGCCAGTTGTCTCTTCCTTGTGGTCTGTGTTTCTGTAATCGTTCCACGTCAGCTCAAAATGCCATTTTGGTGCTAAGCTTTCTTCATGAGATGACCTTCGTACGGCGGTTTACTAACGTGAAAAGATAACCTTTTGTTTTTGGAATACGTTGCTCCAAGTTCATAGAGGATTTCTTGGTACAATGTAATTTTGATATGCCTGATAGTCATTATTTGAGCCGCGCATGTCAGTGGCCTGTCGAGGGCTGACATATGTATATATATATATATCACCTATATCACCTATCGTCCCGTTGATCGTCGAGTGACTCGAGCGGGTACCAGCAACTCTTCCATTTTTCCCTATCGCGTGCAAGAGTAGCCCAGTGGGTCCTCCTTGCTCTAGGAATTCGCTGAGCATCATATCTTTCTTCCATCGCTTTCGTGAAGAAATCGGACCAACGGGTCAGTGGTCTTCCTTTAGAGCGCTTGACGTCCCGAGGAATCCAGTCGGTAACGGCTCTCGTCCATCGGTTGTCGTTGAAGCGCATCACGTGTCCGGCCCACCTTATTTTCGATATCCTGGCGTGTAGAACGGCGTCTCTGATTTTCGATCGTTGACGTAGGTCGGAAGTTCGGATCCTTTGTCTCATTTGCGAAATACGAGATACTCCTAGCATCGACCTTTCGACTGCGCGTTCGATAACGGCAAGTGATCTTTCATCCTGCTTACGTAGCGACCAGGTTTCTGCTGCATACGTTAGGGCAGGGATAATTGTCGAGTCGAAAAGGTGGGCACGGAGTCGGATGTTCTTTGTCCTCTTCACTACATCTTCGTGCTCTTAAACGTTCCCCAAGCCGCTCGTTTCCTCCTGCTCAACTCTGGGGCTAGGTCGTTCATCATGTTGATTTCACGACCTAGATAGATGTAACTGGAGCATTCGGAAATTGTCGTTCCGTTGAGCGTGAATGGGGCATTAGAAACCCATCCGTTCCTCATGAACATTGTTTTCGTTAGATTCAGTTGAAGACCGATCTTTCCACAGGCGTTATCGAAATCAGTCAACATTCGTTCCGCTTGGCTGATGTTTGGTGTTATGAGAACGATATCGTCAGCAAAGCGAAGATGGCTTAATTGTCGACCGTCAATTTTCACTCCCATTTCGTCCCATTCTAATGTTCGCATGACGTTTTGTAGGGTGGCAGTGAATAGTTTTGGCGATATTGTATCGCCTTGTCGAACCCCTCTTCTTACGTCAATGGTGATATTGTTGTAGAATGGAGATATTCTGGTCGTGAAATCTTTATAAAGCTCACGAAGGATCATTATGTACCGAGTAGGGACGCCCTGGTTATCCAGAGCCTCTATAACCGCTTCTGTTTCCACTGAATCAAAGGCTTTTTTCAGATCGATAAAAGTGAGACAGAGTGGTTGTTTGTACTCTCGCGAAACTTCAATGAGTCTTGTGATCGTGTGGATGTGGTCCATGGTACTAAATCCTTTTCTGAACCCTGCTTGTTCGCATGGCTGTCCTTCGTCCAGTGTTCTGTCAATCCTGTTCAGGATGACTCGAGTAAAGAGTTTATAGACAACGGACAGCAAGCAGATTGGGCGATAATTGCCTATGTCGTGAAGGTCTCCCTTTTTGAACAACAATACGGTCTTGCTGGTTTTCCATTGAATAGGGACCTTGCATTCTGACAGGAGCGAGTGAAGAGCCGAGCCAGGGTGTTGATGAGAACTGGCGGCAGGTTCTTCAGGTGTTCTGGTCTAATCCTGTCTGGACCAGGTGTTGTTCTGTTTTTCACCGACGATATAGCATGTCGGATTTCGGAAGGAAGGACCGGTGGAACGACATATTCGTCCTCTTTCAATTTATATGACGGTAAGAGAACATCGCTAGCGAAGAGATCCGAGTAGTACTGGTGGATGATTTTCTCCATAGCCCTTCTGGAAGCTGTAAGTGTCCCGTCAGGGTATCGGAGTGTAATCATCTTGGTCTTATAGTTGGCGAAGCCTCGCTGGGCTTTGCGAATGCTCTTCCCAGCTTCTGCAGCTTCTGCCATAACTGCTGCTCTTCTCTCTTTGAGGTCTTCTTTTATCGCTTCTCTGCATCGTTTCGCAAGTTCGGACGTAAGGTTTCGGTTGCCTGCGGCTCGTGCGATTCCACGTTGACGTATCAGCTCGAGTGTCTGCGGAGACAAGCGTCTCTTCGTGACCTTAGGACTTTCGGCTTTTTTAGCGCCAACGTGAAGATGTTCAACGAGTCGATCGTATTCTTCGTCGATGTTGTCGACAACGGTATCTTCCCAAGAGCCGACTAATGATTTGAATACATCCCAGTTTATGGTAGTTCTGGGACTTCGTTGTTTGAATTTAGCGGCTTTCTCTCCTCTCCTCGAAAATCGGAACGTTGCGCGAAGGAGGCGATGGTCTGATCCCGTGTAGAACTCGGGAACAACAGCGACGTCGGTCAGGCAAAACCTTCGATTTACTATGATGTGATCTATTTCGTTATGGTACTCTCCATTGGGAGACTCCCACGTCCATCGCTGAGAGAGAGGCTTTTGGAATTGCGAGTTACCATGGATGGTTTGGGTCGTCATGATAAACTCGGATAGCCTCTCACCCTGTTCATTCCATTCTAGTCCGTGGGTCCCTATGTGACGTTCTTCAGACGTTCTTCTAGGTCCAATTTTGCGTTAAAATCTCCGACAATGACCTTGAAGAATGTATGATCTTCTCTGAAGAATTTTTCGAATTACAGTAACAGTAAATGTATATGTATATGTATATATATATATTTGAGCAGTGGTCTTAAGAAAACACTCGAAACGAAAGATATGATTTTTTGAACGTACCAGACAGAAGCTGTCGAGTGTACAACACACTGTGTTCGGTGATAATTTCACTGGACATAGAGTGTAAAACGTTCGTCGTCGCCAACTCTTGGTGTGGGGACTTGAGCTCCCACAGAGATTAGCAAAAGACGAGAAAGGGTAACTGCCTGACTGACGAGATCGCAAGATCGAAACACGTGTATCGGGCTCTATAAGTCAGCCCTCTATGACAGACCACTGACATGCGTGGCTCAAAAAATAATTATCAGGCATATTGAGATTTGAGCAGTGGTTTTAGGAAAGCAGTCGTAACGAAAATAATGTGATTTTGATTTTAAACTAACTTTGTTGGGTACTTTTCTATCAGACGGCGACAAATGGATATTCGACTTCATTCGCTGGATAAGAATTTTCCTTAGGAATAATAGTGATCGTCGGAAAGCTTGAATTTCTGGCTAGTGCAGTACGTGGCCGGTTTATCAAAACACCCTTTTATAACGCTGTAACATTCAAAATAAATTTTCTCACGCGACCTCGTCTTCTTTTTTCTTATTCCCGTTTATATTTCGCTGGACTAAAGTCATTCCTTAGACTACTAGTACTCCTTCGGTAGCACAAGTCTCGAAGAACTCAAAAATTTGTTTACTTTTTGGAAAAGCTTTTTTGATAGCGTTGTAGGGGAAAGAAAAGTCTGTGCTGAAAACCTCGCCAGATGAGCTTTTTCTTTAGACAATTAGTAATCATTCGGTAGTTTAAGCTTCACAGTTTAGCAGGGAAAGTAATTCTAATTATTCTACGCTGTGCTTTGGGGAAAGATCGTTTCACTGCAGTGCAGGGGGGAAAACAAGATTGAGTTTTACATACTCGGTGAGCTTGTTTACCGTCTAATCTACGCGTCGGAAGGCGGGTGATCGATCAGCGGCGTGTAGTTTTAGACTTGTGGGATGCCACTATTTATTCAATTAGGAATTTTTTCTCCGCTTTGAAAGAACTCCAGATGAAAAGGTCGGCCTAGATACTGCAAAATTTCCTCTACACGTTCATATGCTTTTTGTGCTGCCAGCAAATTGTGCTTGTGATAAAAATGAAGGCGCGCTTCAGGTGTGAAACATAATTTAATTTTGGATTTTACAATGTAGTGAAAGGGTGTTCTGAAAAACCAGCCACTTAAGGTTCTGGCCTGAGATTTAAGTTTTCGAATGACTATTAACACTCATATGAAGATTTCTTGTCTACCAAATAGGAGCGAATATTCATTTGTCGCCGTCTAACAAGACCCCTTTGTCGCTCTGAAAAGTAGATTATTGAGGGAGGGACTTACCACTTAGTCTTCAATATTGCTATCATAGCTATCAGCCACCAACCTTTGGTGTGGCGAAACTGTACCACGGTGGTGTAGTGGTAGCACGCGCCCCCGGTATGAGTGAAACACGGGTTGAACTCCTGTCTGTGGTAGATTTTTTGCTCACCACACTCAAATCTTTTAGGTGAATAAAAAGTTAGCCCGAATTATTGATGAAGTGGCATCGTGCATTGGTGCAGTACCATTTCTGACAATCAATCCATTGTTTTGTGATTGATTGGCATGTTTTTAATTAGAAATAGCCCTAATGGAGTCTCTTCTACCATATTTGACCCTCTACTGCCGACGAAACTCCTTTTAATGGTGGTTGAAATCTAAATTTTCTCAAGAAACCACCCCATTGTCATTGTAACGCACTGCCTCGGCCGCGCGATCTCGCCGCTTTCCGCGCGAGAAAAATCAACGTGGGACTCAAGGGGTTGAAAAGAATCCGTTGGTAGCTAAATATCTGTTCAGAATGGATCGTGCAATGTAGATGAGATAGAAGCTGAAATCAAGGAAGGCCGAGAAGATACTGAATGCTTTCTTATGTTATAGTCTGTTTGCTCGCGAAATGGCCTGTAGGACTATGATGTCGTTCAAGTAAGGTTTTTGTTTTGTTCGAAATCTCATTTATTGCAGCGGATGTCACTTGTCCTCTTTTCAACTGCTCCAACTAAGACAAATAAACGAATGCTATGAGATTTAACTCTTATAACGGTGTTTGATAGATGTGATAATTATGTATCCAAGGATATTGAGTGATATGCAAATGTATTGACCCCAGGCGAGAGTGAAACCCGTGTTTCACCCACACCTGAACGCGTGTTACTCCTACACCTCTGGGGCCACTGCTCTGCTGCCACTGCTGTTCAAATTCGAAGATCAAAGCTATCAGCAAGCAACCGTTAACGGGCTGGATATGTTCCTCTGGTGTGGGTGAAACGTGGGTTGAATTCCTGCATGGTGTTGAAAATCGTTAAGTTGTCAACTAAGTTTCGTCCCGTCAAAAATTTTTCCAACAAAACGAGGTATTTGTTCATCATGAGGCGACAAACAAAAGACCGATCTCATTCGCTAGACAGGAAGACAGATAGATGGGAACTTTTCGTAGAACGGGTGTTATCTTGATGCCACTGCGATGACGTTGTCGCAGTCGATTTTGACGAGTTGATATTACCTTCACGAAACTTTCAGCCATCTTTGTGTCGTTCTTAGATCAATTGCCTTGTGATCAAGTGCTCTACATAAGTTTTGTGCCGCTTCGGTGGTAGAATGACTCCAAGGAACTCGTGCAAGAGACGTTCACGAATCTTAAGTTTTGGAGTATCCATTCTAAATTTAGGAAAGTTCATGCAGTCAGAAATAAATAAATTTGCACACATATTTGGAAATCTCTCAAACACGAACTTTTGAATGAATTAAAAGGCCATAGAAAAGACCAGATTAGTTTACTGTAGATAGATAAAAAACAGCAAATTTAGTTGTCAACCTAATATTTAGGACTCAGAATCCTTGTATAAACAATTGTTGGCAATAATTAAGTATTCGCCAGTGTCTTTTTTAATGTATTATGGGGACTTTTGTCATTTTATTTGAATGGTCATTAGGAGGGATATGACAAAAGGAGACATCGGAACAGACAAGAGGGAAATTAAAATATATCTAAGGCATAATCTATCTATAGAATTCTAAGAGAAACATCTACAGAAAGGTAGGAATGAAGCTGCACGTTTTTTCCGAGCACATTCGTGAACTGTGATGAACTTCCATCCAGTCATCGTGCTCTTTCGAGTTGAGTTGTAGATCGACTTTCTTTTTGGGTCTTCTGTAGACCCTGGAGGTGTTTAGTCTTGGTGGCTTTTCCTATAATCAGCTGATTTTGAATGGCGATGGCGGTCCCTGAACACATGCTATGCGGACTTCTCATTCATCTTTAACAGAGACAGGAGTCTGCGAACACTGTGTTTCTTCAAAAGAGGTTCCGCTTTCAAAGGAACTCGGTACCCATTCCGCTACGACGGCCGTTTTTGATTGGCAGGCGGTTCGGGCGATTACGAAGAGGTACTCGCGGCGCGCGCTCCATTAATATCGTTCAATGATATTTTGATACTTTTTTGTTGACCGTGGTATACCCCCGTCTCTGTATACGCCCACTGGCATTGCGGCACAAAAATACGGTTTTTCTATCGCCCCTTCACCATACCCATAGAAAAAGAGTTTGGTAAGGCGACACTATATCGCCAAAGTTGTTTACTGTTGCACTACAACAGTACTGAAGTCGTTCGATTGAGAGGAGAAAGGCATTACGCATTGATGGAAAGTTCCAATCAAGCCTTTGGCTTGTGGGCGACATTGTCATCTTCTCGAAAAGCACCAGTGAAGTAGAGACGATGCTCAATGAATTTACGAAGGAGAAAGAAAGATTGAGCTATAATGTCAACCATCTACATCCGCATGTCACCATAGACGACAATATCGTGAGAGAGAAATGAATTGAAATTATGATGAGGCTCGTAGGCGCGCACTTCCAGTGAAGACGGATCGTCGAACTAAGTAAGCAATGATAACTTGAAAGGCCAACTTTCCTCAAATCTCGGTCATGTTAATAATATATAACTGAGAAAAGGAAAAGAGTGTAAGAACTAGTCTTTAATTTGAGCTTTCGCGAGACTTTCTCGAGGCTGGTATCTTTTATCTGATCGGCTGTCCTTCTTGACGACCAGTGGGTCTTTTTGAATAGTGGTGGAACACGTTTCGGCAAATTCTTCAAAACCGTGTTATCTAGCCACCAATATTCGAAAAGACCCATCGATCGTCAAGAAGGACAAACTATCGAATAAGTGATATCAACATCGCGAAAGCTGGAAATGAAGATTAGTTTCTGAAATGTTATTTTCCTTTCCTAAGCATGGAATTTTTAGTCGCTGAAGTCTCGTCACTCATAAAGCCCTTTCAAGACGTAAGTTCACTAATGACCACTGGATTATTACCGAGGGTCGCGCCAATTTTCATAGGCCGTCCGAAGCGTGGATAAGCTTGTAAATCGTTTTGCTACTCGCCGTAGCGAAAGCAATGGAACAGCACCTCTAGGTACTCAAATTATTCAGTGCTTCTATAAACATACTTTTACTTGGCACAATGACGTCACTGAATGACGTTTTGTCACTGCATCATAGCTAAAACCTTGAAAAAAGTCTCTATAATACTCTATTGGCAAAGTGTGAGTCACATCTTATGGGTCTTATATATTACAATGGCCGCGTTTCAGTGTTTCCTGGTGAGCTGTTGTGTCCATCTTAGATCATTCCGTTACAGACAACTGTCTTCTCATCACAAAGATATCGTCCTCAAAGCTCACAATGATCACATGCGTCAAGTGCTCAAATGTGCTGATAGCAATCAGGAGTAAGGTTATTTGCTTTTCACCTAATAAGCCCGATTTCTAACTTTTTTAGAGTCTTGAAGAAAATTATTTTCTATGGACTTAACGTATTCGGCGACGAATTCGCTGCGAAGACGAGAAAAAATCCGGCAGAAACGGTGGGAACGAAGGCTGGTTAGGTTTCCTTATGATTACTGTGGTTACTGTATTCTAACCATCTATATGTTTAGGCGCCCTGATTCCCATTATATGTCGAAAGTCATGAGTACCTTAAGACAGATTGTAAGAGAATGGAGTGTTCAAGGTGTGTTACAGACGTGTGATCTTCCCATTCAATCATTTCGTTTCTCCATTTAGGAAAACCAGAACGAGATGCTACATTTACTCCCCTACTCGATGTGGTGCGTGAACGATATCCTTCTGTCAGTTCGCGAGCATCGGTGAAAATAATGGTACCAGGATCTGGTCTAGGTTTGTGAAACCAGTGGCTTCTAGTTTTCCTCTCAACTCCAGCTTCTCTGTTTTGATTTCTAGATTGATCAGTATTGGTACAGAGTAACTTGTATAAGACCGGTAAGTGTGCGTACTATTTGCAAGCGCCGCAGAACCATTCAAATGTTTTAACCCTTTTATACCGCGCGTCCCATGTATGGGACACGATTGCCGCGCCGCGTCTCAGCTTACTGGGGCTCACTATAATGCCTACTCGCCTGAATCGCATCAGTACTTATTTAACAATCTTATTAGACATTTGTTAGTCTATTTTTCTAATTGTCTACGAACCATCTGCGACTAGCAGCCTTACGATGGGCTACAATATTTTTGTTATCAGCAACTTATAATTCTTCTGTAGCAACTTTCACCTCTCGCAACAGTATACACAAACGCTTCAGGAAAAAAACATTTACAATGTACAGTTGCATCGTACAAAATAATTTTATTGTTGGTAGGCAGTCATTTTTGATAAGCAATTGATTGTTTAACGTTCAGTAAGAAGCTTGGCGTTGATATTGATCATAGATGACTTTCTCGAAGTCTCTTAGTGATATCGTGTCTCTTAATTGTCAGAAAACTCTCTATGTTGATGAAGAATTTTAAATTTCATTGGATAACAATATTGTGATCATAGCGTGCTCCGCTTGCCGGTCGACCGCGCCGTGTGCCATGCGAAAAATCAGCGTGTTAATGAAAGAATTAACAACTTTGTTAGAATCGTTGTCTAGAAGTGGCATAGAACTGGTACTGATGAGGTCGCTGGATTGGCGATGAAATGAGTGAAGATTTAAGCGTTAGTTTTACTGCAATATGTCATGTCCATTGATCTTCTTTTATGATGTGAATCCGTTGACATCGTGAACTTCTGTGTAATTGTCTAAGGCAGTCACAGTTGGTCATGACGCTTTTTTGGCAGCTGGTACTTCACAAATTGAGCAGTACTTTTAGAATAGAGAACTTGATGAGTGCATCGTGACCGAGTGATTGTGATGCTCGCTGCGTCGCGTGTGGAGCTGAACACCACCCCTCAACCCTCTTCCGCAATCAACAACGACCTTATGGAACACCCAGCCAGGCTATCCTAGAGATTGAAAGGAGACTCGCTCAACCAGCGTTCTACGACGTTCAAGAAGAAGACGAAGAAAACGAATTGAATGCTCAGAAGTCCTTGGAATCCGCACCATGAAAAAGAAGCGCTTGAGAAGTATCGATAGTGTGTGTCGAAAAAGAGAA